CGCGTATGTGTATTTGTAAGTCTGGCTTATTACTAATATGCTGCATTCTGTGAGCTAATTTAATTACATTATCTGAAGATCCTCTTGTTTTTTGGACTCAGGGGCACCTAGTAGAATTGTTGCACAGTGATGGAAAGGTTGAACTCAGAGCTGTACTTGCAGAACTGCTACATAATGAAAGAGAATGAGAGGTTAAGGAAGAAGGCTCAGATTCTTAATCAAGAGAATCAAGCGCTGCTTTCGGAGCTGAAACAGAAGCTGTCCACGGGGAATACCAAAGGCAATTCTCCCAACACAATTCTTGACCTGAACCTCGGTTCAGGGTCTGACCAGAATGCTTCCAGCTCTAGCCACTAATCTGATTGGAGAAAGAAGTAACATGACCTCTCACAGGGTCTCTTTTGCTTTTTTTGGGGGGGTTAAAAAACCAGAGTGGACAGTATTAGTTGTAGTCTCTGTTTCATAGGACAATCCTAGAATCCTCCATAAGGTTACTGTTACTTCTCTATTCATGTCTCGTTACATTTTCCTACAACCGTCTGGTGTATCTAGGTATCTAGTGGAAAGGAATATAAAGTTGTTATTACATGTTTTTAGCTCACCCTGTCTTTGCCCTGTGTGTGATAGCGACAATGAACAATATGGACCTGGTCTCCATGTAATGAACATGAATTGTCTCTGTTAATAACCAAGCACGCAATTAAGATGATAATTCACTACGCCTGAGGATGCAAGCTTTGGAAGATCCAATCCAATCAAAATTTAATGCATCTCCCTGTCGGCAGAGGTCTAACGATGTGTTCAGACTGTAGAAAAAAGAGGAATTAATAGGAGAATTAACACTTTGATTTGAGTTTTTTCTTAAAAAAAATTGTGATCATTCTTTTATAAAATATTTTATAGATTCATTTTCTCACTGAAGTAACCCAGACTTGGTTTAGTCTGCTCATTAAGCAAACTAGGGTGATCGACAGGACCCATGACGAATGAAACATTATAAGTCACGGTAATATTTGAAAATAAATCCTATCCGTTTACTAAAATAGGTGATATTTATATAGTATAGAATTAGAGATTAAGGTTATGGGAGAATTTTTTATTTATTTTTTTTGTGGCCAAAAGAAGTGACGAGAGGAGGACAAGAATAGTCGTTGAATGTTACGGATTCTGGATGGGAAGAGAATATAAACCAGAGAACGTCATGTGAAAAAGGTTCAGGAAAGAAGTCAATGAGGATTCATGAGATTAGGTTGGGAGTGAGGGAGGGAAGAGGAATGAAAGAGAAGAGGTAAGCCAGACGGTATCAAGCTGTTGGACTAGACATTGTCTCAGGCAGACTTCTTGGTTTTGACCTTCCCGACTCTACAAATAATGGCCCCGTGTCAGATAATATCAGTAATATCTAAATCTGTATATAAATAATACTTATTTTACAATTATTTATTTGATATGAGAATCGAAGTGATGTGAATAAGAAAAGAGATAACATTAATTGTTATCCTATCAAATTATTTGAAATGACGGATTTTTTTGGCGGGAAGAGTGACAAAATAAGTAGTAATTATTATAACAAATTCTGAAGTAAAATTACTTTTAAAAAAAATCTTAATTTTTTAAATTTTTTTTCTCTGCCAAAAAAAAGTAAGATAAAGTTACCAACAATATTTTTATTCCAAAAAAAAAGTCACCAACAATATTACTGCTGAGTGCTAATTACAAACAGGAAAAGTTGTTTGTTGAGAAGGAGTTGGGAGAGATTTAACATACATGTCCTTGACTAGCAATAATTGCTGAGGGCTAAATGATAAAAGTACCTTTATTAATAAAAAAAATAAAAGTTAAGTATACTCATTCATTTAATATTTCACACAAGATCTTTTATTTTGGGAGAGATTTAGCATACATGTCCTTGACTAGCAATAATTGCTGAGGGCTAAATGATAAAAGTGCCCTTATTAATAAAAAAATAAAAGTTAAGTATACTCCTTCATTGTCAATATTTCACACAAGATCTTTTATTGTCAATATGTCACAAGTTTCTTTATTGTCAATAGTTTTCATGTCAACACTTAATACAATGTCCTTCCATATCAATATGTCAAATTGTCAATTTATAATATTAAAAATAAGGGTTTTCAATCATATGCAACGATTCTTTCATTATACTCCCTCCGTCTTTATATATAAGATGTTTTTAACCAAATCATACAGACTAATAAAAGTTGATTATTTAATTAAAAGCATAACAACATTTTAATTTTGTCCCTAATTATTGTAAATACAAAATCAATCTCTTTTTTTAAAGTAAATTAATAAGAGCAATTATTTCTTTTTCTTTTCAATTTTAATAAGAGTATAATAGACTGTTCATTAAAAATATGCGAACAACCTCTCACCTTTAAGGACAAAAAAATATTTTAAAAGACATCTTATATATAGGGACAAAAAGAGTATGTATTTAAACTTCAATTATATGAAACAAAAAGAAATTCATTTATTAGAATAATAACTTTTGATATTTTTAAATTTTTTAACTTAGAAACACGAGTCTTCAATCATATGTAGTGATTCTTTTACTATATGCATTTACATTCCAATCACATGCAAGAAAGTTTCCATTTATTTAAATAATAGCTACTTAGAAACATTTCAGAATGCTAGAAGCAAAGGTCTTTAGTAATGTACATCAATTCTTCTATTATATGTATTTGAACTTCAATTATATGTAATAAAACTTTCATATATTCAAATAACAATTTTTGATATTATAAAAATTCTTAACACAAAAGCATTTTGAAACATTAGAAGTATGGGTCTTTAGTCTTATATAGCAATTTTTTTACTATATGCATTTAAGTTTCAATTATATGTAAAAAAATTTTCATTTGTTTGAATAATAACTTTTGATATTATGAAAATTCTTAATTTAGAAGCATGATGTAATACTAGAAGTAGAGCTTTTTAGTTATATGTAACAATTCTTTCACTATATACATTTGAACTTTAATTATATGTAAGAAAACTTTAATTTATTCAACTAACAACTTTTAATATTATGAAAATTCTTAATTTAGATGGATACCACATATTATTATTTGAATATTACAAATGTATATTCTAATTTTTTTCTATTTTTATGAAAACATCAAAAGATATTTTGAAAATGGAAATGATTATTTTAAAAATTTACTCTTTTTTATGAAAATACCTATAAATGTTTTGAAAATGCAAATGTACTTTTTTTTTATGAAAACACAATGATTATTCAAAAAATTTTCTCATTTTTTATGAAAAAACCTATGGATTTTTTAAAAAATATACATCCTTAAAAGATTAAGTATGAGAAAATATTGGAAATGAATGCAAGTTATAAATTGATGAATAAGTTTATTAACACTAAATTAATACAAACTTTTAAATCTCATTAGGATTTTGCAATAACTATAATTTCTCTATCACAATTCTCAAAACATCAAAGCAAGACATAAGTTGATATCCAATACAAGCTATTATACACTGTCGATGATTTTTCATATACAATTCATCCCTACAAACTATTGTAGTTACAAAATAATAAATCATATTTTATAGAAGTTTTCTTTTGTAGTTTGGTTTTATTCAAGAAATCCATGCTCAATTACATCTCTTTCTCATCTAGCAATTTACTCTATAGCATCTGACCATATAAGCAAAAGATCCTTTGGTGATCCAACATCTGCAAGATTTAGCAAACTATAGCATTTAATCACCAACTCTTCAAATTTTATGAGTAAAAAAAGGAGAAACAAAATTTAGGAATTCCTCAAAAACAATATATTCCTTATATATGAACAATTAATCAGACACTTGTGATCTTGTTCAATGGGATCCATTGCAACTTAGCGAAGACCAGTGAACAATGAAGCATTACATTTCATATAATTGATCCCTCCAAGCTATTACAATTGATCACTCCAAGCTATTACAATTGACCTTTGAGAGTTCAACTCATCACACTTTCATCTTGTTATGGAACTGCAGCAGTGCCATTTTTTTCTGAGCCTCATGGTCCATTGGCAAAATGCCTTCGGTCCAAGAAATATAATTAATCTACATCAGTGACAGTATGAGCAGAAGATATATGATAGCAATTACATAGTCATTTACATCAAGCTCTCTTTTTCTAAATAATAATAATAATAATCAATATCGATGGTCATATCGAGATTCTGATTGTCAATCTCAACTAAAACAGAACTAAACTCCATCATGTAGAAATAGCAGACCAATTCAATGTCACTCTTCATACCAGAAAGAAGACTCTCCAACTCCTTCTCATAACAGTCTACAACTCCCTTAGCATTAAATTTTAACCCGTATGCCAAGTTCATTAACATTGTAAAGTAGCAACAACTAACTAGTTTGAAATATAGTAACAGACCATATGAAATATAGTTACACATGGTAAATGCATCCAAACTACCTTTTCAACATTTGCCAGAGCCTCATATGCTTCTGTGCGCTTGCCGGCATTGAAAGATGAGGGGCCAGATGAAACAACCCAATCTCACCAAATTCAACAAGGAGCAGAAAAACCCCAGGGTTTGAACTTTCTTCATTCCCTCTTTTACCATCTTCGAAATCAAGACTTCACCTTATTTTCCTTTGTCGTCGTCACCATCAAAATCGCAACCACCCGGTGTCGGAATCTTGCAGCTAAGGCAGAACAATGCGAGAAATCACAGCGAGACGAGAGGGAGGGAGAGGATTTCGATAAGGACATTTAAGTCTTTTGCTCAATTTATCTATTGACACCGAACAGGTCCTCCCTCAAATGCCAAGCCCTTATGGGCAATAAAAAATCTGATTAAGTCTAGTCTTTTTAAACAATTTTCCTTAAAGAGCAAGTATTATAACAAATTTTGGGGTAAAATTACCTTTTCAAAAAAATCTTAATTTTTTAAATTTGTAAGTGCTAATTACAAAAAAAAAATTTGGGGGGGGGGGGGAGCAAAAATTCAAACAACCGAAAGAGACATTTCTCCTCTTTAAAGATGCAGCTTTCTATTGGTTCCTAGTTCCTACACTCAACAAAAGACAAACGAGCAAAACCGAACCAATTTCTGACACAACTCTTCAGAGAAAATGTCGTTCCAAATAAGTTTTGGTTCAATTTTCCTCCCAAAGTTTTTACAACGGGGACTTTCCTGTTTCTTGCCCCCAAGAACAATATCCATGCCAACAGCTGCAATTATCTATTCTATCATTATACAAATCTGGGCTGGTCGCCGGCAAAAGAAGATAAAAGAAGGCCACTAGTCCCATCACCACGGCCACACTAACCCATCCTGTAACACAAACACAAACCGGTAAGCTTGGACCAGAAAAACAAAATAGATTGCAACACCATGAATCTCATTCACAGCTCTGAGAATCTAATTAAGCAGGCCAGAAAATGAACTAGAGGACTTTGAACCTCAGACGGCTCCATGAAATTCTATGGAGCAGGGATTTGATACATTACAATAGCTTTGGTAACACTAAATTCAAACTTCCCACAAGTTAATTAAATCCACAGATGAAATTCGAATCCAATTCCCATTCACAGAACGAAGTGCAAATAAAAACACATGGATAAAATTTATAGCGTTTAAATATAACAGGAAGAAAAGAGAACACTATATCACAAACAAATCGCGCATTCAACTTTCTATATATTTTCCAATATTACAATCTCGATATGAAAATATGAGAAGACAGGTTGGTAGGATTGACTCTACAGGACAACTTTATCTCTAGTAAGAAGTCCAACCATACCTGAAGTATGAGGGAAAAATTACATTGAACGGCCTGAAAAACTAATATATGTAACAATCGACTTTAAAAATGATTTTTTATGACAAATTGACCTTTTTATGAGTTATAATAACAAAAATGCCCTAGTTTACTTTTCCAAAACACTCTTTAAGAAATTGATGAATCTTTGGAAAAGAAAACTCATCCCTATACATAAATCTCATTTAAGTCGTAAAATGGAAGAAGGCCTATCCAAGAAAAATACAATTCGTGAAGAAAACCTATCCATGAAGAAGATTCTTGTTTTTTTATTTTGCTTATGTTAACTTTGACTTGAGCTTGCAATTAAATTATAATAAAAATGATACACAAGGGAAAAGAAAAAAGAAACTATTTTTTCAAAAGGCCATTTATTGTCATTCAATGGCTCCTGCCCAAGGACCAATTTTCTGGGTTTTTTTTTTTAAAAAAAGAAAGAAAGAAAGAAAGAAAGAAAAAGAAACCCCCCCTCCAAAATATAAACGACGAGTTAATCGTAAAGTATTGCAGTATACTCTAACCATATTATGCATAGCAAAGTTGTCTTTTCGAATTGACACCAGAGGTAACTAAATACACATACCACTTCTTGGTGAAAATAGTGCAGGCAATCCCATGAAATTACAATACATGTGAGCAATCACTGGAGGAATAATATGTCCTGCAAAACACCAGTGAAAAACTCTAAAAGACAGACCAACCCGACCAAACACAAAAATTTAACTTAGTCGACCTTTTCATAAGAGATGAGCAAATCATTGATATAAGCTGTGAGAACCCAAACAGTAATTTAATACAGACCATGTCGACCAAACAAATCAGGGTTCAATGACCAGTTGAGCAAAAGAAACCATTAACACATTGTATCCTAGTATCGTTTAGAATGCAAAAAACCAACTTACAATAACTTGATTTGTAATCGCTTCACTTTATTCATAAATATAAACTAATTATCATGTTAAAAATTGACAACTACTTATAAAAAAATTAACAACTTAACTTCTTCTTGTGAATCTCTCTCTATAGAAAAACAGAGAAATTGGAAACCATTAATTGGTTAGTTTTATAGTTACCTTATCAATTACATTCTATATTTGACATGTTTATAATAATAGAGAACAAATAATTTAGTTTAAAACAATATTCTTAAGCAAAGCAGTCAAAGGCAAAAGATACCTTTTAAGACACTAGACCTCTAAAAAGCTTTATGCAAAAGGCACTACAAAAGCGTATGTTCAAGTGAAACAAGGCATTCAAGCAAGAAAAAAATATGCTATATATAAAACAATATTACAAATATAATTAATCATCCAAAAATTTAATTATTAAATGAATTAATATCACTAATCAAGCATAATAATCATTTAAATATAGCCCACAATGTGAAGTGCACTTATGAAGTCATTGCCAAATCTCAAAGCATAAAGTTAACTAACTTTACAACTCAAAATGCATGTGGCTGTGGTCCATTGCTTTATTTTTATGTGTTTGTTAGCAAAACCGAGAAAACTAATAGCCTAAATAATAATATTCTAAAATAAGAATAACTATTTTACCCTATTTTTAAATCTCAGGTCGGTTGAGCTTCTAAGATCTGGTATTGAAGCTTTATTCTCCTATAACTTGTTTTAAATTTCAAGTTAGGCTCATAAACTCTTTCCCTTTAAAACACACAAAAGATCCTGGGATGCTTTCTCATAAAGGTGGAAAAAAAGCAAAAAAGTATCCAACAGTGCCAGGTTGAAGGCTGTGCCTCTCATGGTGTGACAGGCATTGGCATTGAACAATGCCTTGCCTCCACACCTTGACTACCATGTTCTTGACTAAAAGTTATGAGTAATCATCTTAAACATAAATTGTTTTTGAAGATTATAGATGAAATATCCAGCCAATGTGCAAGGGCAGGGTACACATTGCAGAGGCTATACACAATATGACATAGGTGATACGACATAGAGTGTATATGTGACATAACAGTTGGCCAAACATCACCTACCAGTTCGAATGAAAAGAAATGAAGCGTATGACCCAAAGATAACAGTGTAGCCAAGCTGGAGACCTGCAGATATAATCAATTGTGCGTTGTGAGTCTGTTATCAAACAAAACCAAGGGCAAAGCCTTGACATGTGTTAGCCTCTAGAATAAAACGCACTGACCTTGCCAAGGGAAGATTTGAGAAAACAAAATCCTGACACAAGATATATAGTAAAAGATGAGCATACCTATGACCTGGGAAGCCTTGATTATGCTGTAGTTTTGCTTATAGTAAATCTCCATGAAATGATTTAAATGTGCTGTAGATCAATTACACAATAAACTTCTCAAAAACCGTCATACCTCCAAGAAGTTGAGAGAAATCAAACATCCCCACCCCACCCCACTTTAGTTACTTTACATCCATGCAGAACTCAAGGGAATATTTTTCAAGGGATGTAAGCTACCAAAACCTTTGTCTGCCCTATGTGCAAGTGCAAGCCAAAATATGTATAGTTTTCATCAGTCTAAATTATTTCCATGCACAACAACTTTGGGCAATGCTATTGAAGTTGTGTAAATATGTGCTTGACAGTGTATGCAACCTATTCTGATTGGTCTTGTAATAGATTATGAACATTCTAATAACAAAGACAGCACTCATAACTTTCATAAAATGAATGATGAACTTCGTCCTTGTGGTCTAATTAAAGTTAGAAGCAAGCCATTGTCTGAAATCCTAAGATAACATTAATGGGTGCTTAATCCCTTCTTTTGATAACATTTCAACAACTGAATGCCAAAAGGCTACTAATTATGTGTCATACAGAAAATGCTGCTTCATAAAGTGTCCCAAATAAAAGATACATCTTTTCATGTAGAAATGCATTATTCACTTACCCAAGCTGAAGAATACAGGGCAAAGAAGTATAACACTGTATATTTTGAGTCCTCCACAAAGAAGTAATGGTATCATACATGCTCTAAACACCAACTCCTCAGTAAGGGGTGCCTGTTCAACAAATTGTAACTAAGTAATCTCATATTGCATGTATATATGTAAACTCTTTAAATATATGTAAACTCGTCAATATTCTAAAGTTTATAGAGTTCCATCCCTATAAAAATGACAGCATAGTCCCTAGAAACCAACAAAGAAGGTAAAATCAGAAGAGGACATAAATAGTACACTTGCTGCTAAATAATCGATGGGGGATAGTGTGCGCCAAAATTTGCCAGCTGAATCCTAATAAAAATTTTCATTATCTTTCTCGTAAAGGACTTGTCAATCCAGGCAGTTGTTTCACAAATATGTGTATAGCTTAAGGTATATTAGAACTCGCTACATGTTAACAAGTATAAGCTTGGTACAACAAATAGATCAAGCAATAACTGCACTTGGACAAAAGAAGGTAACCGAGATGAGCAAGTTACACTTTTCTGGTTAATGCGATTAAGTTAAGTGGGATGTAAATGACAGAAGGTCAACATGAATCAACATGTAAAGATACTAACCACAATACAAGTTCGCCATACTAAAACATTGGATAAAATGGTAGGAAAACAGCCAAGAAACCTCAGTAGGACATTTCTGCACAAATCAAATGAAAGACTTCCACTGGAACTGCTGTATTGCCTCCAAGAATCAATCAATAAGAGAAGCTTGAGGAATATTGATCCAGCATACATTAGAGAGGTCAGAAAAAGAGGGATGGTCACTGCTTGCCACTGTTTCATACAGAAAAGTGCATTTCAGCAAGCAAATTTAGGAATGGGCGAGTGACCCTGTTTTCCCATCTGCATAGCACACAAGAGTTTAACTTGGAATTACCATGCAGGAAAGTTCACATTCTTTCCTTTCTATATTTCCAAAAGAAAAAAAAAATGCCGTTACATGCAGGAATTCATTAAACCAGGAACAGTTTTAGTTTGAATATACGAAAACGAAACTCACACTATGATCCGCTCTTATACCATAAACAGGAAATAAATATGCTGCTGCCCTGGTTCGTACCTGCAGCATGGTAAAACAAAGGCTGAAAAAAGATTAATATAATTGCACGAGCGGTGCGAAACTAAAAATTGTAGAGTAACTTCAGAGGTTATAAATACACAGTGCGACTCTAAAATCTCAATCAGCTAATTTTACATGACAAATCGATTTTCTTAGATTTTCCAATGATTTGTCATCTACTTCTCGTTACACAAATGAATTACTATAATGTTATCACAACCCTATCCTCCGAGTCCAAAGAAACAACTAAATTATTTATTCTTATCATAATAAGTCGAAGTAATCCGATGTAAAATTTGTCTAAATAATAATAGTTCAGCGCATCAAAAGCTGGGGGGGGGGATATAATCACAGCCCAGGTCCAACCCCCTCTTTCTTAAAACATTGCTAGAAAACAGAGATCAAGATTAAAGAATACTACCCCGCAGGGTGAACAGGATGATCAGGCAGGAAGGTAGTAGAAAAAGAACAAGAAAAGCGCACACTTACAGGAAGGATTAGTGCAGAGACGAAAAGCGACAGGATCGAAGAAATGATGGCACAAATGAAGCGTCGGACCATGTAATTGTTGAAAGAAGGAGGGGGAGGCAACCGAAGGACCAGAGTGGGAGCGTAGAGAATGGCAACGTATAGAAGGGCCATAGCAATGCAAGCTATCATTGCAACTGGCTTCGAAAGGCCGCCTTCTTCCTCCATCGCTAAGAATCCACGAACCCTAGAGAAGGAGGGCGAGAAAGAGATAAAGATCGCGTCTTGACTCTTGTGTGTCGAGTATTGAATACAGCTGAGCTATTGCACTATTTCTTTTCCGGTGGAGCGCCACTTTGCGACTTCGCTCCCCAATATGTTGCAGGCTTGCAGCATAGAAGACAGTCCATTCGAGTTTCGGCTTCCACGGCACCCCCGGAGAAATAAAATTTCAACCTTTCCCTTTGTATTGCAGGGCGAAAAATAAGGCCTTTGTATTGGTAACATTTATATGATCCAGCATTTATGAAAACAGGCAGCTGGTCTTGTGTATAGCAGTAAGTCTGAGAAAAATGACGTAGCTTCTCGTTCGATATTCTAGTACGTATCGATAGATGATTGAGACAATGGCAAAGGATTGATGGTTAATGGTTACTAACTTATAGTAACTAGTACCAACACCGATAAAAATATAAGTTACTAAATTAAATTCGTAATTTCTTTCTCTACAAAATAAATCACTAAATTCAGTCATCTAATTTATAAACATGAGCAATAATTTAAAATTAAAATATGAATGTAAAATCATCACTAATCACTAGTGGTGGTGGTAATTAAATTGTACTCCCTCTATTAAAAAATATAAAACATCATTTTTTAAGGAGTTATATGTTTAAAAATGTAAGAAATTTTTAATTTTTTTGAAGTATAATCATTTTTTTAGTGTCTCTATTAATAATAATTTTATATTTATTGTAAGATATTTAATAGGAATAAATATGAAAAGATAAAGTTAATTTAAAAGCAAGTAACTACTTTATTAAAGTGAGATTCTGTTAAAAATATCTTATATTTTTTAATAGAGAGTTTTTAATTTATCATTTTTAACGTTATTAATTTTATGCAAAAAAATCATACTTATATTGACATCAATATCAAGAAATAATCACAAAAGTTACGCATATGGAGATATATATATTAAATTATGTCCTGTCAAAGACATGATACGGTATTTGGTTTTTAAGAATGAAGAGACGTTTTAATGAATTGATCCATTTCTCACCTTCACCAGGGGTAAAAAGCACCAATTTTATTTTTTAAAAAAAAACAGAGTATCGTGAATATTGTATGATTCACATTAACATTATCAAAACTCACCCCTCAATCACAACAAACAAATATAATTAGAAGCTCCTAAGCTCACATTATAGCTATAAAAGATAAAACTAATATTCTTTTAGAAATAATTGTCAAATATTTAGAATCCTATAAAAATCCTTTAAGTTAATAATTTAAGTTTAAACTTAATGATTTATAAAAGTATTAGAAACATGGAAAAGTTTTGAAAAGTAAAATACTTCAAAATAAGGTCAAAAATGTCATTTTTGAATATTTTGGTCTATGCGCCGCAACTCGTGATCCATACACCGTGGCATGTGGTACAGAAAGGTAAGTTTTCTTGTTGTATCGTGCGCCGCGACTTGCGTGAAATGCGCCGTGGTGCACGTGTCCATGATAGCTTTTTTGAACGAACTTTAAACACGCGTCATTTTCACATTTGATGTCCGATTAGAGTGATTCAAGTGCCCACACGAAGCTTATTCAATAAGCTAACTAATGGTACAAGTTTCGTTACGATCCAACACCTTATGAGAATTTTAAACATTCGAATGTAAAAAGTCAGTTTTTAAAATAATTTTTAAGCATCCAAATATCCAAAACTCATAACTTATACCATTAACCCATTGTGAGATTTGAACCAAATCCAATAGATCAAAATAATCTTGATTGAACATTCAAACACACAAAAACATATCAAATATAAAATTTGACCATTCAATGGCCATTTCACCTAATGTGGCTAAAATACAAAATCAACACTACATGGACTATTTGGTGTTTATTGCCACATAATACACTACATATACATTATCACCACATAGATAAAACATTTCTTGCACTTGTATTAGTATTTTAGCCCATCACCATAAAATTTATCACATATTCACATCATATATAATATTAGGCTAAAATACAAAATAACAAAGTATAAAACAAGTGCAACCAATTAAAATAATATGCATTCCTAGTTGGCAACGTATAATATCATCCATATAAGTTTATGTACACCACTCAAACTAAAATCAAGCATTACTATTCGTGATGTAGCAAATCTAAAAAATTGCCACATATTCACATCATATACAATATTGGGCTAAAATACAAAATAACATAATATAAAACAAGTGCAATCAAATCAAAATGATATACATTCCTGGTTGGCAACATATAGTATCATCCTTATAAGTTTATGTACACCACTCAAACCAAAATCGGGCATTTATATTTGTGATGTAGCAAATCTGCTAATCCTTACTTGATTCCTTCCCTTACTCAGTCTCAGCGATAGAACCTGTAAAATAATAATTACGGAATGAGATAAAAATCTCAGTAACTAAAATAATCTACATTATTGATTAACATGTCAAGTTATAAGCAAGCCTTAAAATAAATAAAATAAACACACCATATAAACTTACTACAAATTACATGCATGATCTCTAACCATCCAGTCCTCCAATACTCTTGACCGAACCGGTAGGCTATTTTATAGAATCAAACCACATGTATGATCTTCAAACCCACCGGTAGGACTACCTAGCCAAGGTGTCCTAACCTCCTTCTGGATTACTGATTTTCCCTATTATAAGTAATTGAGGTGTTATTGCTCTAACACCGCATCCTACAAATGTTAAGGAGTATATTCTCCAACTTCACACCCTTTTGGGTATTAAGGAGAGTAAGTCTCCAACACCACACCCATTTTTGGGCACTAAGAAGAGCGACTACTGCACTTGGCATCCCGAGGTGCCAGTAGTGCCATATGGATTTAGTCTTCCCCACTCTACTAGGGTGACCTTCCACCCTCTAACATGCCACATTTCACTACATATCTCCACTTGACCGTGCATAAACAACTTTCTAAACAAATATAACAAATCTTACCATTTACTTCAAAAATATAGAATTTCACAAACCAACACTCCACTTATTTTCTAAAATAGTTAACCTTTACGAAATTTATACATATATACACAACAAATCATAGAAAAGTAATTTGAGAATAACTTATATAAGGTAAGAAACAATGTAAATTATCTAATTATTTCAACCCTTTTGTTACTAAAAGGGTTACCCGTGGTACTAAATCTCTTCTTGTGTCAAGGTAAATCTTCCCACATCACAATTTACATCAACAAGTACTATATGTAAATTTTCAATTAACACAAGCACTATTAGCTACCAATAACTCTCAATTCTCCCACTTCTCACTTATATTCTCAACAAATAGGCTTGCTAAAATTACAATTTGTTCACACAATCTCTTCAAACCTCCCTTTAAGTCTATCACATCATAACAGTTAATATCTCAAATTATCACACTTCAAAATCCCATGATCAAGTTAAGGCTTAATCCAACTTTTACCAAACAACAAAGTAACTTCATGTTATCACATATCTAAGATCAATAAACTTAAATCAAACCTTTAGAGTCAATAGAAACCTTCAAAATATAGACTTATGGCTTAATTATTCAGAGCAAATTCTTCCACTTTCAAATCCTATGGAAAATGAGATGAAAAAGTAGAAGATAAGGGTAGGAAACTTACTCAAGAGTTTGAAAGCTCAATTTAACTTCAAAATCCTTCTAAAATGATGTCCTAGCAGTGCCCAAAGCTCACCCCTTTGTGTTCTAGGTTTCCCACCATAAAAACCGTCATTTTCTGATAATTTTCAAAAATTTAAGTTGCCTGCTGTGCTGTGCGCCGCGGCTCACGACGCAGTGAGCAAAATGTTGATTTTGCTCCCCCCGGTGCCATTCGACTTGATCCAACTTCCATCTTAACTCAATTTAGAGCCATATATGATCTAAAAATTCAATTAGCAACCCAAAAATATATTTAAATTAATTAATCATATTTTTAACTAATCTATCCCTTAATTAGTCATTTTTTCATATTTGAAGTTTTCGAATGTTATAGATATAGGGGTGTTCACGAGATGGGACGAGTCCCGTCTTCCGTTTTAAAAAAAATCATAATTGAATTTTAGTTTAGTGTTTTGTCCCATTTCGAAAGTCATCCATCCCATTAGGAATTGAGACGAGATCAGAACAAGATCAAGACATCCTATCCTATCATCCTGATAAATCAGACAATGTTGGAGAAAAATTTAGATAATAACATTTATTAAAATTTTAAATCATATACTTTATTAAGTTTAAAATTAAAATAATATAAGTACATAAATCACAAGACTTTAAAGTCAATTATTAAATTATATCAATCACAACTATATATTATGATAGTAATTACAAGTAATTTTTAGGCTATAAGAATATCAATAATAGGCAAGCCAAGCACAATATCAAATCATTATTTTTTTACTTTAGTTGAGGTGTGCTAAGCTATTACTTGTCTGAAAATAAAATAGAAAATACGCTATAAATAAAAGTTATTAAATAGATAAATATATGAATAAATTGTATTAATATAATTAACATGTTATAAAAAAATATCACTCTATTTACTCTATGTCATTAAAATCATTAATATAAAAAACTTTAGTTTGATATGAGAATTGCAAGTAATGAAATTATAATTGATATAATTACTATAAATATAAATTAAATTAATATATTTAATGTATATTTTTAAAATAAAAATAATATATATAATATTCAGGACAGGACATTCCTATGATAATCCCGTGTCCCATCTCGTCCTGAACCCTTTTCTTGTCACGTTCTATAAAGTCTGATTCGGATTGTTTTTGGGCTGAGATGATACCGAGCAAACAGGATGAGTACAAGCTGAACACCTCTATGTGGACGCAAGGATTTGCAAGCATAGTTGTCAAACTCTCGAGTTAACTTTTCGAATTCAACATTTTTATGTTTTTAACTTATAAAATTGTGTCAACTCACTCATAAACTCAGACTAAATATAAACTCGATTAAACTCACGAGTTTACTATTTTTATGTTTGTAACTTATAAAATTATGGCAATTGATTCATAAGCTCGGACTTAAAGTCGAGAATAAGAATCAGGTCTAAAAGGCCGTGCTTAAAAGCCCTGTTTAAATAAGGATTCGGGCTTTAAAAATAAATTTTTTTAAAGTAATCAAACTTGAGGATTTGGCCCTGATAAGCCCTGTAAAAAAAGGCTTAGGAGGCCCTTCAAACTCTGTTATATTATTATTATTATTTTTTTTTTGGTGAAACATGTGTTTGAAACCAATGACCTACTCACCCGACTCTACACGCATTATATTATTATTAATTTTAATTTATTCTAAAATTAATTTAATATAATTTAATAAATATTAGTGTATAGTATACAATTTTTGATATTTTTATATTTATTATATTTGTGTATTTATAAAAAATGAACTATTTTTTAACCAAGATTTAAATTTTATTACTAGACTTCTAAACGTGTATTATTTAATTTTTAAAAAATTATAAGAATTTTAATTTTTCTAATTTCATAATTTTTTATTTAATTTATAATGTTTAATTTTATTTTATTTTTTATTTTTTGAAAAAGAGCTTGCAGGCCCAACTTTAAATCCTTTACATAAGGACTGAACTTGAGAAATAGGATTCAAAATGAAGAACTGAGTTTTAGGGCTCAGGCCCTTATGGGCTAAAGTCCATAAGGGTCGGACCCGCCCATATTTTCAGTTCTACCTGAATTATATGCAAGCTTAGTTAAACTTGTTGAGCTCATTATTTTTTTTAGTTGAGCAAGTTAAGTACTTCCTCTATTTAAAAATGTAATGCATTTTTAACCGAATCTTGCTTCTAATAAAGTATTATCTAATTTTTAACTAATTCTATCTTTTCATATCTACCGCTCTTAAACAACTTACAATAAATATAAAGTCATTATCAATAGGGGCACTTTTAAAAAAAAGGTAATGATTACATCTTAAAAGATTAAAAATGTCTTACATTTTTGAATATCTAACTTTTCAAAAAATACCTTATATTTTTTAACAGAGGGAGTATATATTATAAAAAATTTGATTCATAAAAGTTATAGGATTTTCTTTGAAGAAAAAAAACTTAAAATACAAAAACTAATATGAATAAAAATGAAAACAAAAAATACCAAGAATAATTTCCCTGTTTTAAATTTTATAGGTTTTATATATGATAAATTATCAACATAAATGAGTTTAATTCTAATAATTTATATTTTAAATATATTTCAATTACATTATGATTATATTTTAATAGTTATTTATTAATGAAGGTAAACTCTTACGAGTTTATGATCTGAGTTAATGATATAAGTTTATACTTCCAACATGAATTTATTTAAACTTATGAATTTAACAACTTTGTAAAGGAAAGATGATTTAGTGTTGAAATAAATAAATGTAATAATAAGTTACCTTATTTTTTTTCTGTGTATTTGTGTATATTTAAAAGTAAAGAGATTTTTCTCTACTTCTTTCGTTCTTTTTACTCCAATTTTCTCCCTCGTCCAAACAAACAGTTAGAATGTTACACACACACACACATTCTCCTTGTTGTACGGTGTGTATAATTTTTGTAAAATACATTATATTTATATTATACTGTCTAATTTATTTTAGGTACAAATATTATATCTAATTTTTAGTATCAGTATTATATGGATTACATGTGAATTATGTGATTTATTATATTATATATATACATTCAATATCATAATTAAAAGTTTAAACCATGGCTTCATCTAAAAGTTAAAAAAGGATTGAGGTGAAAAAACACTCATCAAATGTTATGTCACATCCAACAGTTTAAAGTGAGAAAAATGATAAAAATATTCATAACTTCATCAAATTCGGTGTAAAAATAATTAAACCATTAATTTTGTTTTAATTCTATTAGTTTTATGTGTTAAATACTAATCGTGCTTGCTATGTGTTAGTCTTTGTTAACGTGAACTTAAAAAAAATAAAAATACTCGCGAAATTGTTAATCGAAAGCATTTAGTAGTTTAAAGTGAGGAAAAAGATAAAAATATTCATAACATTGTTAAAGTTAGTGTAAGAGTGATTAATCTATTAAATCCTTTAAATGTTAATCATTCAGCTGACACATAAATAAAAGCTGACCATTTTTTTTGCTGACAGACAAAAATATCCTCAGGTAAAATTTTATGGAGGTTGATCGGTTATCATGTGAATATTATGTGAGAAAATGTCATTTTGATCAAACATTAAGTTAAATTGCTTGTTTATTTATAGTAATGGTAAAAATCATTTAAAAACTTTGAACTTATTGTAAATGAAATTACTTAGAATTGTGACAATGTTCTTAAGGCAGGCGGAATAGGAAGTGTGCTTAATCTCAACATTCGATAGTGTACAACTTATTTCATTTGAGAAATTTGAATTCATCGTAAATGAAATTGCTTAAAGGTGAAACAATATTCTCAAGGCAGGCACCGTATGAGGTGTGCTTAATCTCAATATTCAATTGTGTACAGCTTATTTCATTGCATTGAATCTCAAGTTTTGTGGATAAGAAAAATGAGTGAAAAGGGTGGGATATATGTCAACGGCAAAAATGAGATTTGGAGGGACACATTATCAATCAACCTTTGTAGAAATTAATATGGGAATATTTTTTGTTTGCGTTAATGAAAAAATAGTTAACTTTTGCTCAGGTATGAGTTAAATGGTCAACATTTAAAGAATTTGATAAATTAATCATTTTTGTATCAACTTCAACAATGTTATGGGTATTATTATTCCTTTTCTCACTCTAAATATTTGGATGCTTTTGGTTGGTAACTTCGTAAGTATTTTACTTTTTTTTTTAGTCTATGTCAATAAAAATTGACACATGACAAACACATTTAACATTTAATATTAAAAATTAATGACATTTGAGTAAAATTAACAATTTAATTATTTTTCCACTAACTTTAATAATATTATAAATACTTTCGCCTTTTTTTTTTCCGGGCTATTGAATACCTCTACCGATCGCCCGATGGGTATTTGATTAACGCTGGAAAAAAAAAAAAAAAAACCAGAGGCTCAGTCTGAGCAATAAGGTAAAGTACCAAGCATCGAAAACTCACCTCACCCGGTCGCCCCTCACTTGCAAAATTTATTTCTTCTCCCGTCGATCTCGGTTCCTTCTTTATCCAAGAAACCGAAATATAGGCGTTGAGATTATCAAAACCCTAATATTACTCGAAGTCCAGGTATATTTTCTCCCATTCATCAGATCTCATGGCGAAAGATTTCACGGTGCCGCCAGTGGTTTTTCCATCCGGTGGCAACCCCACCACCGGTGGAGCAAACATGCCGCCGAGGCGGGTCCCTACGGCACCGTTTCAACCGCCTCGACCATCCAATTCCAGCATTCCCTTCATGTCCTTTGACATGGGGTCTGCAGCCGCAACTGCCCCCTCCGGAACAATTTATGGAGGCCCCGTCGGTGGTGGTAGCTCTGCGAACTTTGACGATGAGGAGCCTCTGCTTGATGAGCTTGGGATCCACCCGGATCAAATCTGGAAGAAAGTCAGATCGATACTCAATCCATACCGGGTAAATTACGTCGTGCACAAGGACTCTGATCTGTCAGGGCCAATTCTTCTCTACATGTCCTTCTGCCTTTTCCAGTTACTTGCTGGAAAAATTCAATTCGGTGTAATCCTGGGTTGGATTGTGGTATCGTCTATCTTCTTATATGTGGTATTCAACATGTTGGCGGGCCGAACTGGTAATCTAGATCTGCATACTTGCACGAGTGTGGTGGGGTACTGTATGTTGCCTGTAGTAATGCTATCGGCCCTGACTCTTTTTTTGCCGCAAGGTGGGATCGTAAGATTTGTGATTGCTGCGGTGTTTGTGCTGTGGTCAACAAGGTCTTCCACGGGTCTTATAGTTTCGCTTGCTGATGGTGGGGATGAACATCGCGGGTTGATAGCATATGCTTGTTTCTTGATCTACACCCTATTTTCATTGCTTGTCATATTCTAGTTGTGATTCGCACTGAAATTTTGAATGGCAGTGCATAATTTAGTGGACAGTTTTCTAGCTTTTTGGTAATTTTAATTAATGTAGTCTCATACCATAATATGATGGAAATTTGAGATGTAGAAAATGGAAATATTTCTGTAATTGATTTTTTTTTTATCGTGCTTCACTTTTATTGCAGTATTGTTTTGTGAAATTGTGCATATTATATTGGATTCTGTTTTTGTTGAAATTACATCTCTGATGCTTTGCAGCACATCTTCCGGTTGAGCGAATTCAACATTGTGGTTTTATGTCTGTGCAATGGCTTTTTAGAATAATAGGTGTTCCCAAAACATGAAGATTACATTGAATCTCCATCACTTGAGAGGCTGTCAACTTGATTGAATAAGCAATTGGCGTCCTTAAAAAGTATACTATCATTTTAGACTACTTAATCCCTCGTCGTCAGAAATACTATATATGCTAATAAGGTGACTTGAACTGGGGACAGCACGCCAACCTTGATTTTGTGCACGATATTTGAGAGCTATAACTTCAACTTGTGGAACTATGGAAGAGAAAAGAAGTCAAGAAGTGTGAAATAGTATGGGTCATATTCATTTTTGTCTGTATTTCACAGAATATTCATGCTTATGTCAAAGAGCATTCCATCAAATTCTAAAAGCTGTTGAACGTGATTGTGGTTACTATCTCTACTTAGAGGGAAAAGATAATGTCAGTCTTCAACAACATGATTGTTCATTCCGGCCATTGCTCCCGTCACCTGATTTTTTGGGTTTGGTGAATAAAACGCCATTACTCATGGTGCAGAACTTCCTATCTTTGGACAAGATATGGAAATGGAAATAGAAAATTTGTAGTAAAGTTTTCTCGAACTACCACATTTTTTATCTGTTGACTGTAATTTCTTTTTCATACCCATGCTTAGCCCCCTTCCCCCAAACACCCTCCCCCCCCCCCCAAAAAAAAAAAAAAGAAGCCTAGAACTGGTTTAATTTTAACGTTGTGCTTTACGCTTTTACATTTGAACATATACTGTTGCTCTGTAGCTGCACTTGCAAGAAAGTTTGATTTGCTAAAACGATTATTCTTGTTGACTGCCATATAGCCTGGACTGCTTTCCCCTCACATGGATGATCGTTTAGCTCTATTTTGTTTGTTAATTGGAGCAAGTATAAATTTTAATTTTGTCGGGAAACAGAGAGAAGAGGAGAAGAAAATGGTGTGGATGAAAATTGACTAGGAACATTGACATGTTTCACGCATGCATGGTTCGCATATATTTATTCCTCTGTTATCTTTTCCTCATTTGTTGCCTGAGCAACGTATTATTAAATATTGATCCATACTCTTTATTATTGTTAGGTTACACCTCTGTTATACTATAAGATAGTCTGTGCGATCTTGTATGCTAATAATTTACTATAGCTACACTTTATTAATGTTTCTGGAAGAACTGTGTTTTGTCTTTTTGAATCATTTGTTTTGACGGTTTTGAGGATCATGAAGGAAGCATTAGGGATTTCTTGCGTTTCCTTATCCCTATTGCTCCCCAATAGTCGGGTCAGTGGCCAAGACAATAGTGGCTGATGACAATCTGAAGGCATTTGATCTTCGGATGCTCTTTCTATTTGGACCTCTTCAAGTAAGGACACTGTTCAAGGGTTTCCGTTAGATTTAACTTGTGCCTTCTCTGTGGAATTATAAGTCTTGTAATTACTATTTTACTTATTTTTTGAGTTATGGCAACCTTCAGGCACAGTTCATTATTTGCAGGTTTGCTTGTTGATTATGCGGCCAAACACCTAAGCATACTATATATATTATTTATTATTTGAAGATATCATACTGTACTTTTTTTTTGTGTGAATGCAAAGTCTTGACTCATGCGATTGACTTTATGGTTTTGTATATTCGCAGCTTGTTCTATCTGTTGAGGTAGGTAGTCCGACTGACTTCATGTTATGATTTTGGTGAATGTGAATCACCTGCTTCCTATTGACCATCCCCACTTCTCAATTTAGAAATGTATTATTCCTTGGGTTATTGAATGTATTTTTTTTTTTTTTGGGTTGCCCACTTGGTTCACTGGAGCAACTATATTCGGATCCGACTTAGGTTGCGCACCTGGCTTTGGTGGGTGAGTCTCCTAATGTGAATTTTGTACATATGCAAGTTTGAACTTGAGACCTTGCCTAAACAGAACCTAGTTGCTTACCACTCGGACCAACTCTTATCGGTGACTGTTATAATATTATCATTTGTGGGCTTTCTTTCACGAATGCGGTCTAGTGATCATAGAAGCTGGGCTACTTTTACAGGCATAAGCAGAGCTTTACGGGAAGAAATTCTAGAACAGGCTCTGCTTTCTTGAGAATGATTTTTGACGAATGCAAGCAGTCCATTGTTTTTTCAAGAAAGAAATTTGCTGACGTGACTAATTCAAATGAGTGGTGTCCAAAATAGGTGGTAATTAGGTGGTGCACCTTGAAAGTAGCTGCTCAAGTGGTTCTTAGACATTTAAAAATCGTGTCATTACAGATAAAAAGGGCGAATGGGAGCTACACATTGAATTTGGTGGAGAGCAAAGAGGAGTTGCTGCGTTGAAAACCATCCCCACTTACTGTAGATTTGTTGGAGAGCGTTCTACTTACCACCATCCCCATGAACATATATAGACACACACACACACACGGGGCTCTTCCTGTTAATTGTATAGGACAAACAATGACTACATCAGTTGAAGATTCTGCTGTGCGCAAGAAGGCCATCCAAGAGATCGGCATGGAAGAGGACGAGGATCTATTTGAGATTGACCTGGAGGCAGTGAACGCCATTCCACCACCTCATTATTGGGAAAGTTACTATACTTCCACTGGCAACGCACTTCTTGCCAATTGTTTGCTGCCCATTTCTGATATCTCTGTGGCTGTTCCTGCTTGCAGTTCAGTGTGTGTAGCAGCGACAACTGAAGTTCTCGGACATGTTACAGAGCCCGTGTCACTGGGGGAATATCTTAGGTTGCCATTCTTGGGACCTCTTGAACTTGATCACAAAATGCAAGCACAACCACCCTTTGTGATTGAGCATCATTGATCTTGATTTGTCACTGTGTCATGTTATGCCACTCGGCAAACCCTGACAAAATCTCCATCTCTTTCTTTCTCTGATTTTGTTGTATTATTGTCGTCAAAACTTCTCTGTTCTGTTGGGCACGGGAATTGGGTCACCAAACACTGTAAGAGTTTAGGTAAATTCCTCGATCAAATACATACATATACAGCACAGGTTACCATGACGCTTAGTTTAAATTTTGTTGTTCATTTCCCTTCCTCGGTTTGGAAATTCTAGTTTTAATTGAAATAAATCAAATAATGAGCGAGATGCGTTGTCGTGAAGACAATTCTAGAACTCCCAACTTCCAAGACGATATATATAGAACTTTCATATCCGATTGGGCACCTTAAACTCTATGAAAGCTTGCGAGAAACCTTTCCCACCAAGCAGATAAAGGTGAGAATATGAGTTAATTCGATTCATATGGGTTAAGTGAAATATGGGTTGAAAAAATTTTAACTCAACCCTTAAGGGTTAACGGGCTAAATGGGCCAATCTGTTAGTCCATTTTTTTTAATTTTTTAAATTTTTTTCATTATTGTTTAAAAAATACATCTAAATAATAAGTTTAATTTGATATTTTTTCATAATTCATTCTAAATATATTAAAATATTATTTTATAATGTTTGTACAAAATATATAAATTGATACAACTAAATAAATTATACTTGATGTGATTTAAATTCACAAAATTTTTTCCTTTTCTCCTTTTTTTAAATTTTTTTTAACATTAATACACATTAAACGGGCTAACCCTAACCCATTAGGGTTAACCCATATAGTTTATGGGTTATATGGCTTAGACAAAATAAAAACTTATTTTTATTTGGGTCAATTTTTTTCAATCCAACCTGACTCTTATGACTAGTGATTCAAGCTAACTTATATAATTCAACTCATACTTTTGACTCTAGCAGGTCCCACGGAACATATGATACATATGTGTGATATTCATTCTATGTAGATGATCGTAATTCAAATTCAACGATGATCAATTCGCTTCGCATTTAAGACAACCAAGCCAAACCAAGCCGGTCAGGTCAATGGCATTAACGACAATTTGATTTTTAAAAAAAATTAAATTTTGTTACAACGTTAGAGCTGCGCGGAAGAATTTTTATTTTGAGGCCAATAACACAGAAGAAAATTAATTTACCATCTTGTGAATATTGTATTTTTCTTTTGAAAAATGGGTCCTAAAAATTTGGCAAAATTTATAATTAGATATTAGAAATTTTCATTATATTTATTTGTTCAAAAGGCTTAAATTTTATTTTATTTTATTTTTTAAATTCAATCACATTGATCAAGTTTAAAACTGCAAACGCAAGATGAAAATTTTCATTCAATTTTTATTAGGTGGGAAATCTACTATATTTAATACTTCCTCTAAACTACTCTTTTCATCCCAAATTATAAGATACTTTTAGGAGAGATTTGTTATCTCAAAAAATAAGACATTTTGAGAAGATTAATGTTTCATTAAATAGGTTTATTTCAATATTATCATTTCTCTCTCTATTTAATACTAATTAAGTATATATTTAAGATTATTAAATGAAGGATATTTTCAAAAGTTTATATTTTTATTTTTTTAAAAAATAATGTTGTTAAGTATATTTAATGAGGTTTATTATATTAGTATGTAAATTTTTATCTAAAAGTGTATTATAATTTGAGATGGAGGAAGTATAATATAAGTCCTTCTATATAACTTTGCTTGGTTTTTAAATTATATGGCAATGGGCATGAGTTATATATATGTATATATATTTCAATTACACCGTTATTTTATTGAGTAATTAATAAAATATTTTGAATAAATTAAATGTTATATTTATTATTATCTCAATTTTTAAATACAGGAGAATTTTAACCAACTCATGTAGTTTAAAAAAAAATAATTTATCTTGATAATTATGTTTGAAATTGAGATGTTTGGACTACAATGCTCATGTAATCAATGCTTCCTTTTCACCTCTAATTTAAAGATACTATCTATTTATGAGAGAGAATTTAAGAAAAATGTCATTAATGCTTCTTAAAAT